TCATATATTCGGAAAAGGGCACACACTTACATCCAAAATGAAAATCATAAACACAAAATGCAATATCGTAAAGTAAAGTTACATGGAAACAAAAGCAACATTTCTGAATAGTACGAACTGTGTATATGAATATGTATATATACGAGAATATAGTTTCTATTCTTCCATTATTTCTGCTTAAAATACTTCCTCTCGAATATTTCATGTGTACATATATATATATACAAAACTCCATCGAAACACACGTTATCCCCAAGTTTCTCGAGGACCTGACGAAAATGCTTTTCTAAACGAGAGCAATGGGCGTTATATGTATAACTCAACAATCCGTTTTTGAATCAGAGCATGAAATTTTCATATACATATAGAGAGAGAGAGAGATTTCCTATAACTTTGACATTTTAAATCGATATTTCATTATTTTTTCCCAAGTATTTCTAAATATTGTAGAAAAAAAATTTATTTTTATCACACTTTTCTGTCAATTAAAATTTCATTAAAGATAATTACAACTAAGTCATCAAATAATATTCGCATAATGAAATTATTAATAATTAGTATAAATAATTATTATTATCAAGCAATAATGAAATTTCGTTATCAATAATATTCGAAAATATTTGTTCAATAAAAAGAAAATTCTCTCTCGACTATTTATATGAATATTCTAAAATTAAATATTATTTTAAGAAACAAATTTTATTTCACTGAGATAGAATTATTGAAAATTATATGTATGTCAGTGATGAAATCTATATATATATATATGTATTTTTCTATCAATGAGGAACGGAAATACGGATATTGTTCTTTTATTATAAATTCTGATTATTTTATATTGACGTGAATAAATTGGTAGAAATATAATATAAAAAGTTGATTTTAAAATTAAAAATATTTTTAAAAAAATGCAAACTTAATTTAATTTAAAAAGTTAAACGTATCCAATGTTAAATATATATACTTTCAAAATGGATATAAACTCTTCAGAATATATTATATACTGGAAAAAAAATTTATTTGATTCAAATAATCGATGACTATTATTTACTTGAACCAAATAATTTTTATATTTATTTGATAATAGTCAAATATCCAATTTTATTTGAATCAAATAAATCTTTTTTCAGTGTATATATATATATAATTTTAAACAAATGTTTGTGAAGAAGTATTTTTTTTTAAATTCCACCATGAATAAAAATCCATGTTATAAAATCCAAGGAATTTACAATAGAATCAAAATATTATAAATTGGATTATTAGCTTTAGCGTTCTAATCTCTAAATACGTAAATCAACAAGCGTCTGGTTTTGAACGATATCGAGTATACGCACATACTTTAAAATCAATATTACTTTTCTCTTCGTCTATATACACTTTTTTTTAAATTCACATATAACACAAAAGCTAAAAAAAAAATTCATTTCATGCATTTTCCATCTTTTTCATATAAAGAAGAGAATTTGAAAAAAAAGAATTTTTATTCTATTAATTGAAATTAGATAAAAGGGCAAATAAAAATTGAAGCCTAATCTGAAACTAAATAAAAAAAAAAACTGTGAGTAGAAACCAACTAACCATGCAAATATTTGGAATTTCGACTCGTTACTTTTTTGCCTTTAAACATTAAAAAATATGAAAATGATAATTACATATATTATTAAATAATAGTAATCTTTTTTAAATGAAAGTAATTTTATATATTACGGGGGGAAAAAAACTTGTCAATTAAAAGTTTTCAAACCATATATATACATTCTTTGAGTCGACTGACCTATTAAAAAAGTTTTTTGAGCTCACGCGCGCCTAGTACAAAAGGGACAACTATGGTCATTGAAAAACATTAATGTTGTTCTTTTTCCAGTCTTTTAACCAGTTCTCGATAAAAACTCGTTATAAACTCGTGTGTGGATAAAACTCTTAATCGAAGAATGCTGGACGCGCTTGTTTCGAGGGTCCTTTTTCTGCGCGACCCTTTTTAATCATCAGGTGTCGATAAAAAATAAATAAAAAAAAAAAAAAAAAAAGACTACACTTTGAAGCTTCACGTAATTTAGTAAATCACACGAGCTTTTGCCAATAGAAACTTCTCGATTTGTTTATAAAAAAAAAAAAAAAGAAAAAAAAATAGTCACCTCGCACCAATGATTCTTTTCAGTGTCGATTCTCGCGCTATCTAATATAAATTCTCTACGCTTTTATTGGCCCCTATCAACTGTGAGCAAATTTCATTCTGAATAGCTGTATTATGCAAAAATAAACACGGAGATTTAAAAACTCATTAGTTTTTTTTTTTTTTTTTAAATAACATAAAGTTTTACGTATAGTGAACAGAAAAAAGTAATTAAAATTTAGATTCGCGAATATTGACCCGAACTTTCACATTAATATAAATCTCATTTGCCGCATAAATTTCATTTGGCATAAATTATTTTTATCTCAAATGAAATGTAGAAATTGCCCTACCAGGGCCCTAGTAGGGAATGAAACGTCACACCTGATCAGGGCCAAATCAGGGCGATCAGAAAATGTAGATTTCCTAATCAGGGGATTCCTAATCAGCCTGATTAGGCCCCGATCTGGGCCCTGGAAAAATTTCTGCACGGCTTATGGTAAATTATATATTTAAGTCAAATGAGTTTTATGCCAAGCGAAAATTATGGAAAAGTAGATTTATGCCAAGTGTTTTTTTTATGTTAAATAAAATTTATGTCAAGTGAATTTTATGCCAAATGAAATTTATGTCAAGTGAATTTTATGCCAAATAAAAATTTATGTCAAATTATTATTATGTCGAACGAAATTTATTATTTTGTACCTTTTTTTATTATTAAAAAATTTTTCTCAATAAATAATTTCTATTAATAATTCTAATAATTGCGTTATTTTTGAAAAGTTTATTCTAAAATTGAATAAAGTGGTTTTTTTTTCTAACCTGTATATTTTTTTTGTGTAATAACTCATTCTTGCGAGGAAAAAAAAATTGGAAGAACTAAAAAAGATTGTCGTCTATATTCTTGAGAAGTATAAAACTAAACTATATATCTATATATATATATATATATATATATATATAATTCGTATACTTGAAGTTAAAATATCAGTGAAATATAGAGAAGTTGATTCGATTTGACCAAATTGAATTTCCTACATCTCACAGGGGACTTGGAGAGTTAAATGTTGGTTTGTAGAGCGAAAGAAAGAGGAGTTTCTTTTTCGCAACAGGTGGCAACCTCCACTATACAGGTATCAAGCGCTCTTTTCTCTATAAGATGAAATTTTCTTTAGAACCTCCAACTATAACGTTGATAGTTAAAATCTCCAACCACTGTTTCTAATATCATAAGCTCAACACTAAATGAAAGGGAAATTTGCTTGTGGTTTTGAAACTAATTATTTGGAAACAGCAGAATCAAGAGGGACACAGAGAGAGAGAGAATAAGCGAGATAATAAAAGACAGCTATATTTGTCTATCTCCTCAGGGGAAATTTCGTTAGACTCAAATACAATTTGTTATGGGATTCTATACTTAATAAACCATCAGAAATAATTTCAATAAACTTCATTTAAATTCATATTTTATATAAATTTTCGTTAAAATCAATAATTTATTTGATTCAAATATTTTTTTTGTTTCGAAAAATAATTTGGAGAACATTGATTAATTATATATTAAAATAATGTAGTTTACTTGAATAAATAAAATAAAATTATTGTGTCAAATAATTTTTCATTGCATCAATTAAATATTTTAGTGCGAAATAAATAAATTAATATTTGAAAAAAATTATTATATTTTGTTTAAAGAAATTATTGATTAGATTCGATTAATTATTTGCTTGATATAATTAAAATTTATTTGATTTAAATAAAACAAAAAATATTTGAACCAAATAATTTTTTTTCAGTTATACGAAACTTGATGAGTAATGCCAATTATATAAAAATAATAAGTAATAATAAATAAATAAAAAAATAAAAATAATTAATTAATTAAATAATAAAAAGGCCTTGTATGGTTAAAAATATATTATTTTCTCAACTTTCATAAAAAATTCAATTTTTTGAAAGAAAAGATAAAAGAAGTGAAAATTTTTAAAACATATAAGAAGAGAAAAAATGTAATTATAAATTCTCGAAAAAATGATATGTTCAAATTTAGTAGAATAATAAATTTATATATAACTAAAGTTTTCAGTTAGTCGAGAATGTTGTAATATCAAATTTATTATCAGTCGAGCGTTCTGATGTGAAACAATTAGGTTCACCTGCGTTGATAATCCAGCGTACAAGGCTGTCAGCAAGTTTGAAGCGTTTGAAGCACAGTCACCATCGCATTCAATATATTCACGTCAGCGTTGCATTCTAGCAAGCAAACGGCTCGGATTTCCATTCAACGTTCTCGACTTATTTAAGACATAGAGGATTTTCCATATTTATTAATATATAGAATTTATTTATGAAAATACTTGGTTAGAAAAATTAAATTATTTTCCAAGAATATTAAGCAAAAAAATATTTAAATAAAAAACAACTAATAAAAATACAAATTCATTTTTAAATAATTTTATTTAATTTTGAATAATCATTTTTTCAAAAAAAAAAATTCTATTACGGAAAGTTAAAAAAAAAGAAAAATATTTTAATTAATTAGCGCGGTGAAACTAGCGAGCCGCCAGCCGGCAGACAGCAGACAAAACCATAGGCGTCGACGCTACACTAAACGCCACCACTAGCAAACTGAGTAGCAACGTTTAAACAAAAATAAAAACAGTTCTAATGATTCACACATTACATTATGATACTACATGAACATATTTTAACATAAATATGATTAGTTAACAAACAATTTACACTTACATAATCAAACAATAATAATTAATGAAAAACTATTGTCTGCTAACAAACGGCTGGAGATGCTGGCTATTAATTTTTCCAAAAAAAATTCTTACAAATAAAAAACTGAATTTTTAATTTTCTTGTTGGAATACCTTCTAGAAATGTTTATTAACAACTTTTATATCAGTAAGAATTTTTTTTTAATAATAAATAGCCAGCAGCCCCAGCCGCTTGTAGCAGACAGTCGTTTTTATGGTTTTTTTTCACTAAAACCGACTCAAAAAATTTATTTTTCAATGAATTTTTGATTTTCTTGTTGGAACATCTTCTGGGAATGTTTATTAACAAGTTTTATATTTGCAAGAATTTTTTTTTGAAAAATTAATAGTCAGCAGCCCCAGCCGCTTGTAGCAGACAGTCGTTTTTTTGGTTTTTTTTTCACTAAAACCGACTCAAAAAATTTATTTTTCAATGAATTTTTGATTTTCTTGTTGGAAAATCTTCTAGGAATGTTTATTAACAAGTTTAATATTTGCAAGAATTTTTTTGGAAAAAATTAATAGCCAGCAGCCCCAGCCGCTTGTAGCAGACAGTCGTTTTTTTGGTTTTTTTTCACTAAAACCGACTCAAAAAATTTATTTTTCAATGAATTTTTGATTTTCTTGTTGGAAAATCTTCTGGGAATGTTTATTAACAAGTTTTATATATGCAAGAATTTTTTTGGGAAAAATTAATAGCCAGCAGCCCCAGCCGCTTGTAGCAGACAGTCGTTTTTTAGGTTTTTTTTCACTAAAACCGACTCAAAAAATTTATTTTTCAATGAATTTTTGATTTTCTTGTTGGAAAATCTTCTGGGAATGTTTATTAACAAGTTTTATATATGCAAGAATTTTTTTGGGAAAAATTAATAGCCAGCAGCCCCAGCCGCTTGTAGCAGACAGTCGTTTTTTAGGTTTTTTTTCACTAAAACCGACTCAAAAAATTTATTTTTCAATGAATTTTTGATTTTCTTGTTGGAAAATCTTCTGGGAATGTTTATTAACAAGTTTTATATTTGCAAGAATTTTTTTTTGAAAAATTAATAGTCAGCAGCCCCAGCCGCTTGTAGCAGACAGTCGTTTTTTTGGTTTTTTTTTCACTAAAACCGACTCAAAAAATTTATTTTTCAATGAATTTTTGATCTTCTTGTTGGAAAATCTTCTGGGAATGTTTATTAACAAGTTTTATATACGCAAGAATTTTTTTGGGAAAAATTAATAGCCAGCAGCCCCAGCCGCTTGTAGCAGACAGTCGTTTTTTTGGTTTTTTTTTCACTTAAACCGACTCAAAAAATTTATTTTTCAATGAATTTTTGATTTTCTTGTTGGAAAATATTCTAGGAATGTTTTTTAACAACTTTTATATACGAAAGAATTTTTTTTTGAAAAATTAATAGTCAGCAGCCCCAGCCGCTTGTAGCAGACAGTCGTTTTTTTGGTTTTTTTTTTTTGTTTCACTAAAACCGACACAAAAAATTTATTTTTCAATGAATTTTTGATTTTCTTGTTGGTAAATCTTCTGGTAATGTATATTAACAAGTTTTATATACGCAAGAATTTTTTTGGGAAAAATTAATAGCCAGCAGCCCCAGCCGCTTGTAGCAGACAGTCGTTTTTTAGGTTTTTTTTCACTAAAACCGACTCAAAAAATTTATTTTTCAATGAATTTTTGATTTTCTTGTTGGAAAATCTTCTGGGAATGTTTATTAACAAGTTTTATATTTGCAAGAATTTTTTTTTGAAAAATTAATAGTCAGCAGCCCCAGCCGCTTGTAGCAGACAGTCGTTTTTTTGGTTTTTTTTTCACTAAAACCGACTCAAAAAATTTATTTTTCAATGAATTTTTGATCTTCTTGTTGGAAAATCTTCTGGTAATGTTTATTAACAAGTTTTATATACGCAAGAATTTTTTTGGGAAAAATTAATAGCCAGCAGCCCCAGCCGCTTGTAGCAGACAGTCGTTTTTTTGGTTTTTTTTTCACTAAAACCGACTCAAAAAATTTATTTTTCAATGAATTTTTGATTTTCTTGTTGGAAAATCTTCTGGGAATGTTTATTAACAAGTTTTATATTTGCAAGAATTTTTTTTTGAAAAATTAATAGTCAGCAGCCCCAGCCGCTTGTAGCAGACAGTCGTTTTTTTGGTTTTTTTTTCACTAAAACCGACTCAAAAAATTTATTTTTCAATGAATTTTCGTTTTTCTTGTTGGAAAATCTTCTGGGAATGTTTATTAGCAGGTTTTTTATTTGTAAAAATTTTTTTTGGAAAAATTAATAGCCAGCAGCTCCAATTTACTAGTGGTGGCGTTTAGTGTAGCGTCGACGCCTATGGTTTTGTCTGCTGTCTGCCGGCTGGCGGCTCGCTAGTTTCACCGCGCTTAATTAATTTTCAACCATCGTTTTTTAAAAAATATTCTCGGATAGTTGAAATAAAATAATTGAAAAACGAGAAAAAAATTTACCACAAAATTATCGGACATATTTTTTTTTTTTAAATGAAACTTTTTTCTCAATAAAAGAATTTTTAATGAAAAATTTAGATGGAGAATTTTTCTATATTGAAAAATATCAATCAATTATTTAATTAATGTGTAATAATTAATTGATTGTGTGTAAAGTATTTTTATTGTCAAAAACTGACAAAAAGCCAAATACTAATAAATATTTCTGAAAATACATTTTCAACTCATCAAAATTCATACCACTTTTTATGTGTATTTTTCTCTTTTTTTTGGAACGAATGCCATGACAGCCGGGGGAATCGAGAGGAACTCGAGAGAAAAATGGAATTTCAGAGAAATAAAATACAAGAGAAATTGATTCTCGTTTTATATAAAATATATAGAACGCAAAGAAGAAGCAATTTTTTTTTTTTTTGAAAAAATTTTTTCTTCAATTTCCAAATTCAAAACGTGACTTATTTATAGTTTTGCTATTTTAATGAAATTATTTTTGAATCTATTATATATAAATAATTGTAAATCGTGCCTGACCTTCAAAACTATATAGGAACTTTAAAACATTCGCAAAATTGTTAATTAGTATTAATTAACTTCACTTAAAAGTTGTTAATTATTTAAAAGTACTTATATAACAATATACACGAATAAAAACGAAGACTGGAATCTAGAAATTAGAAGCTTAAACTTTCCATTGAAATTCGAATTCATGCTTCATTAATATTTCATCTAAGTTATTAAGACTTATGTTGTTAATTTGACTTGCAAATAATTTAACGAAACTTTCAAGGTGTTTAATGAAGAAAGTAACATTTAATTTATTATAACGCTCAATTAAATAATTCGTATTTAAATAACTTGAAAATTATTGTATACATAAAAATTTATTTGATTCAAATACTCGGTTATATTTGACTATTATAAAATAAATATATATATAAAAAATTAATGAAATAATTTTTATTTGAACCAACAATTTCTGTAATTGAAAAAAATAATAATTATTTAATACAAATAATTTGATACTTGTCAACTATGCGATTAATTGAATCAAATAAATTTTTTTATGAAACATTTTTTAGGAGTTTTAAAACACAATATATAAATAATCTATAAAATTTGTTACGGAATTTAAACTCTTTCGATTAAATGAATATATGACTTGTATAGGCTTTAATATTTATTAACGGTTATAGATGTAGAAACATGAAATTTCTCAATATATATATATACATATACGTTATTCAATGGTATTCCAATGGAATTTGAAATTGGTTCAGCTAATTGAATTTGATGCTTTCTATCGGATAACTTTGGTTATAGTCAAAGGTATTGGAATAAGTCTTTTCCAATAAAATTCTTTTAAATTATAATGAAACAATCCCTCCCGAACAAAATATTAAAATAATATTCGCAAATGAACTAATAATAATCTTTATATATATATATATATATATAATGGGTTTTCAATTCAAAATCCTTATTCATACACTGTCTTTATATACTTGACATTCATAAAGAAATTTACATATTTATGAATTTCGAATTTTGAATTTTAAACCATTAAAATCATACTCAGAAGCATACTGAATAAAAAATATATATATAAAAAAAATACGAGTTAATTTTTACGTGAAATGACTTTTAAAATCAATGTTTATATGAATTTTTCCTTTTATCTATTTTATATGTCTCACTTTTTTCATTTAATTTCAAATTGAATTGTGATTTTAATTTTATAGAAAAATTAATAATCATAACGAACAGAAATTTCATGCTTTTTATTTATTTATTTTAATGAAAATTTTAAAACATTTTTGCGAAATTAATGTTATTGAATATTTAATTAAAATTATCATCGATTTTATTTTGGAATTCTAAATGTGAATAAAAAGAAAAAAAAAGTACAACAAATTTCTTTTCAATGACAGTCATAAACATTTTGTTTTAGAGTAATTGAATTTCAAGAGAAATCAGATATACATGAAATTAAATTAACGAACCAAGTTGACATTTTAGTTTAAAGTGAATTGTTCTTATCGACTAATTTAGTTAATGTAAAAGGTATTTTGTAATTCCGGAAATTTCTGCAAATGTTATTCACGTTTCAATTTACACAATTTGATTTATTTTTGAAACTGACTTTTACGAACAATATCGAAATTAAAATTGTTCACAAAATTTTGAAAATGGGAAAAAAAAAAATATTTTTTTAGGGCATTTTCATTAAAAAAACAATTTAAAAATAAAAACTAGCAAAAAAATGAAATTGTTGTATAGAGTTCATAATAATTTTAAAAGCGTCAATATAATTAGAGAAAATAACTAAATGAATAAATTTTGTTATCGAATTCATAATTCTTTATGAAATTATTTTGAAAAGTATGGAAAATTTTCTTTTCTTTTTATTAAAATAACAATTCACAAATGAAACGAATAATGTAAAAGAGAAATAAATTATATTGTAATTATCCATAAAATAATTTAAGATTAAATAAAGAAAGAAAATAATAAAATGAAAATAATTTCAATAGAAAATAAAAACTAAATAAAAATAAAATGTAAATGAAAATAAAATTTCAAAATGAAAAAAAAATTTTTCAATAATAATAGTAAAATCAAATAAAGAAAAAAATATAATAACGGGAGAAAAGAAAAATAAATTTAAAAATAAGCAAAGTAATAAAATACAAAATTAAAAAAAATTGTGTCAGCAAAATAAAAAAAGAATAAAAAAATCAATTTTCCTTTTGAATTACACGTATATCTATATATATCGAACATGAATTTTCTTATCACGTACAAAATGGCAATAATATATATGTAATATAAAAAAAGAAAAACTTATACGTCTGATTGTGTTTTCCCCCCCAAGAATAATCAACATTTTTTTTTTTTTTTTTATAAACTCCTCACATTCACGATATTGGTTTACAAATTACAGTAAATACGTTTTATCTAATTTTTCAAAATTTATTGGTAAACAAAATTTAAACCGATTAATTTTATAATAAATTCCTAAATTAATTAACTATTATATACTTTCTAATTTGTGATAAATATACATAGTCAAAGAACAATTTATTTATAAATTTACAACACATAAACAATAAAAAATAAATTAAAAAAGTTATATGCAATCATAAAGTCTTATGCCTCGAATGAAATTCAATTTAAACTTTAAGTGAAATTTTTATATAAACGGGAAAATTGCAAAGTTTAATAATTGATTATTATTTAAATTGCATAACAAAGGATATTGAAAGAAAATTGTTAAAATATTTTAAATTGATAAAACATTTTAACAATTTTAGTAAAAAAAATTAATTGATCAGTTAAAAGAAATATTAATTTTCAATTCAACCCATATAATAACAATTATAAATTAACAAACAATTGTTAAAAAAAAAAATTTTTCTTTAATTTTTCAATTTTTTTTATGTTTTTAAAATTCTTATTCTGGACCAAAAAAAATAAAAAATAAATAAAAAAGAGTGCGAAAAAGAGATAGAGAGAGAGGAAAATATTAACGACAAAGTTTAGACCCCATTTTTTAGCCTCTAATGCGTTTTTGAAAGAAGATAATTTCCAAATAGTCGACAAAGGTCTCGTTACTAAACTTAATTTTAAAAAATGTGAATTTTCCTTAATGTACTTTCTTTGCATTATGTTTTGATAATAATTTTTTATTATTACTATTATTATTATTACATTTTTTATCATCATTATTATTATTATTATTTTTACTATTATTAATGTTTTAATATTAAATTACTATTATTTATGTTATTATTAAATTTTTGTGTTGGTACTAATGCAATTATGAATAAAAATAAAAAATCGAAGACAACATAAATGATATTGTTTTCTAAATTAAAGAAAAATTTTTTTTTTCTAGAACGTAATAAATTTAACGATCTAATAAATTTATTTTTATTCGTGTCTTCAACGGATTGAAGGCTTTGCTTGATCGAACATATTTCCAATTATATTCCGTAATAATGATCTCTTTCCTATTTGTTGAGAAAAATTAATTGACTCTAATTTTACTGAAAGGAAATAACATGTAAAATGGGTCAAGTTAAAAATATCAATATTATATTATACCTTCAAATATACGTACATCATTCTAATAATCACTAAAACTTTGAGATTTCTAGTTTAATAGCAAAATGTATAATTACAATAATTTCAAACATAATCATAATCGTAATCATATAATCCGACTCTCTCTCTTTCTCTAACACATAAATTCACATATCAATTAAACGAGGCGTACGAATAATGTTTGTATTCTATTTCTACAATTACTATTGTATACTGTTTTGTTAAAATTACTCATAAAATAAACTAAACATTAACAAATTTTCTTATTTATTATAGAAATTTTGGGTTAGTATTATTTATGATAAAAAAATTTTCGTAACAATTTTTATATCAGTTTTTAAATTTTAAGTACAAAACTATTGTTACCGAAAAATTTTCTATAAAAATAAAATTCACTCGAAAATTTCGAAGGAAACAAAAATATTTTCAATTTTCTATTTATTGATTAACCGAAATAAGGTTGTCGTCCCAGTTTGTGTAACAAACTTGAGGAATTTGTCCCAGTTTGTTAAATGTTTTGTCTTTTAAAAAAGAAATTTTTTAAAAATAAAATAAAAATCATCTGCAAAATCAAACTTATATATAATTTCAATTTATTTGGGGAAAAAAGCATTTTTTTTT